CCACTACGCGTCCATCAGCCTTGTGTGGCCGCGCACACATTGCTGCATCCACCTCTTCAACACAAGAGTAAGTCACAAAACCAAAGCCCCTGGAACGTTTTGTTTGGGGGTCTCTCATCACCACACAATCCGTAAGTGTGCCCCATTTCTCAAAATGTTCTCTTAAGCTATCATCTGTAGTTTCAAAGCTCAAACCACCAATAAACAGTTTCCGTAACTGCTCTGGTTCTTTAGGATCATGACCCTCCTCCCCCCCGGCGGCAGCGGCGACGGCCGGAGTCCGCAAATACCTTTTTAAATAGACACAAAAGACAACTTTACACATGGCTTTCACCTGATAAGCTGCATAGGAATCAGATTGACTATTATTTGTGGAAGAAATCGTTGGGGCAACTCAATATTGGCAGTCAAAACTAGGCCAGGGTCACACTGTGGGTCAGATCATCAATTACTCATATACGAGTTCAAATTGAGGCCGAAAAAGATGAAAATAAGTCCATAGGAATAAAGATATGATCTTGAATCAACTACATCTGAATTTAATGATCATTTTAAGAATAGGTTTGAAGCAGAGAAAATAGAGAGTACAAAATGCTAATTGGTTGCTCAGTATCACTCAGCTAGAATTCATGGGCAAGAATGATATTTTGTGAATTCAAGGGGCTAACTACTTACCGCTGGCCTAGTGCAAGGAGCTGCGCTGCCAACTCAAAGGAAAGTGGTTTGAATCTACCAGCTGCTCCACAGGAGGAAGATAAGCAATCTCCTCCCATGGACTTACTGTTTCTAAAAACTCAGGGGAGGGTCAGCTATGGGTCGGTTCTGACTCTACGTTACACAACAACTTATTGAGGAAGCACGGGGGGCTTAGCTGGCATCCACCTGCACTGCTAGCCCAAAGGATTCTCCCCTAGTTGGAAACCACCAACAATTCCAGGTGAGAAAGACGTGCAGTCCCTTCCCATTGCAATTTACAGCGTTCGGGTGGGTCACTATGAATCAGAACAAACTCTATCAGTAAGTTGCCCTGAGTTGGTATCAACTCCACGACAAAGGGTTTTTAAACTTATTTATTGAACTATCTGGGGACCTAGGTCATGTTGAGATTTCCTCCCCTGAAAAATGAAAGACAAGTTGCTGTCCATTGTACCTCATACCAAAAAAGAAAGAGGTACAACACTTGATGGACTTCTTCATTTGAGAGGTAACATATACCATTGTTGTTATTGTTCATTGCCATTGAGGGGATTCTAACTCAGGATACTAATATGTGTGAAGAACTGTTCAACAGGGGTTTCAAAGCTGTGACTGTTCAACATTATTTTGACCTATTACTGGCTTACTTGAAAGCTCCAAAGTTAGGGGACTCATATAAAGAGAGGGAGTTTTCTTCTTATTGGTCCAGGCTGCAGAGTAAGTACTTCATCTTTGGCCTTTATAAGTCAGGAGTTGAATTTTGGGTGAAGTTAGGCCTTCCTTCAGCAAACAGTTATTCTTTTTGAAAAATAGCTTTTTCTCCAAAGACTGGTGAAATTGGATGCCTGGCCACCTAATACGAGGTGATCTACTTAATCATGAAATCAAGAGCAGCTAGAAACACTCCTTTAGCAAGTAAAAGTGACATACATGGCCTGGGCCCAAGCCATCCTAAAGGCACACATAGACTGCCTGGATGAGTTATTTACTTTCCTCTTTTGATATGGAGCACCTGTGTTCTAGTGGATAGGGAGCTGTGCTGCCATCCCAATGGTGGGCACTTTGAACCCACCAGATGCTCCTCTGGAGAATGGCAATTTTCTTCTGCGCCATTTGTGTGGACAATTGCATACCATAGAGTCAAACTGACCAATAGCTGACCCTCTGGAGGGTTTTCAGAGGCAGTTAATCACACAGGAGGAGATTGCCCATCCTTCTCCCACAAAGCAGCTGGTAGTCCCGAACTATGTGCCATTTATAGCCCCTGAAAACCTGCTAGAGAGTCAGCTATGAATTGATTTCTACATCCTGTGTTGACTCATATGCATGGTCTTGTGGAGAGTAGATATCCACCTGAGGACATGGGTGGCATTTGACCAAACCACTGTTTCAGAGGGTGTCTACCAAGGCAATGATGACATCAGCCAACAACCCATGAAAGCAGGAAGTAGCAGATACCCTGATGATGTTGTAGGATATGTAGAATGAAGTATATGATCTTCATACATTAACTTATTATGCTGCTTTAGAAACAGGGAGAACATATTTAAAGCATATAATACACCAATAATGTGAATAGTGTAGGCCCAGAGAGGGAATCTGTATAAGATCTAAGAGTGAGAGATTTCGACCTACCTTCTCGACAGCTACTCTTTGACTACTGTGCAAATTACAGCCTGTACTCACCTA